AAGTGGTGTTTTTTTCTTCATACAAATTTAATAAAATCACCGCGATATATCAGCAGCAATGAAACACCAGAGCCACGCCCGCATAGACCGTCGGGTGACTGCGAGCGAAAGGACCGGCGCAGAACTCTGCTCCGACCTGGTTCAGTCCTGGTTTAGCTCTGGTTTAGTCCTGGTTTAGTCCTAGTTTAGTCCTGGTTTAGTCCTAGATTAGTCCTGGTTTAGTCCTAGTTTAGTCCTGGTTTAGACCTAGTTTAGTCCAGGTTTAGACCTAGTTTAGTCCTGGTTTAGTTCTCTGTTCAGTCCTCAGTTTAGACCTAGCTTAGTCCTGGTTCAGTCCTGGTTTAGACCAGATTTAATCCTGGTTCAGTTCTGGTTTAGTCCTGGTTCAGTCCATATAAGGCGCAAAAGTTCAGCATCTTCCCAGTTAGAGTAAAAGGATCTTAAAAGTGCTGCAATAGTAATGTAATACCTTACATATAAATGCAGTAATATTTTAATGTAACTATCTAGTCCACTATGACAGTAACAAGTCATAAATAACGCATTACAATTTTAAAGTAACTTGCCCAACAGTGCTGTAATGCTACAACTAGCAGGCTAACTGGCACTTCTTGATTATTGCACAGTAAGACGCTTTATAATTAGTTATACAGATAGTACACATAGCAACCGAACCAGTAATAATATATAATAAACTAGAGACATATAGTTGTAATAAAGAATGTTTTTATCGAATAATTGTATGTAAGTGGTGTTCAGCTATATTTTCTTTTACTTAGTTGGCATTCAAAACAAAATACACACATTTTCTGCTGATTTTACAGTTAAATATCGACCCATCTGCTTGGTTTGACTTCCCACACAACTCCCATTTGAGATTTTGTTACTGGAGACATAATTTCACCAACTTTTCTTTTTTTCTAGTTCTCCTCCTGAATGTACCAGATGGATTTAAACAGGAATCTGAAGACGATGGACAGAACTGGGACTGCAAAAAGGTACATTTCTCTTCTGTTTATTGATTTTTAAATTACGTGTTTGTTTTATTTATTCAGTTTGTCTGGCGCACTATAAGCTGACATGTTTTTCATTTCCTGCAGAATATTTCGAGGTCAAAAGTTCCTGGAATACAGTAAGCATTTGAATGCACCACCACACTAGAGTAATAATCATGCGACCAAATCTATTTAAAGTTGCACTGTGTAACTTTTCTGGTGGAGGGTCTATCAAATACTTTTCTTAAAGGAGATGTTACTACTTTGTCTGAAATGGTCAGATCTATACCATCTAAACCATCTATGATTGAATAAATGTAAGATAGATTTGTTTAATATCACACTGTGGAACATTCCAAACAGAGCAATGACATCTCCATAGAAACAAGAAGGTGACAGACCCTCTACCGAAAAGTTACATAGTGCAGCTTTAACTACACTTACACAAACTTTTTTTTAAATTTATTTTTTTATCGTAGATAGTCAGAAATCAGAATCAGAGGTCAAAGTGATTTAGGAAACTATATTTAATTTCCCAAAATACTGTTGAAAAAAAGAATTGGACTTTCTTCCTATTAATTAGAGGGGGGTCCATGCGAGGCTTCTTGGCCCACGACCCCAAATTTCCATTGAAGGACCTGTATATAAGAATAGTATTTTTGTTTTTAATTTAAAGCCCCACTCACCTACAAAACGGAAAAACATATCCTTACTGTGAGCGGGCTTGCATCTCCACAAGGTCACAGGTCAGATTTGTGTAGAGGTGGCCCCGCTCCAAGTCAGAATGCCTGTTTTTTTAAGGTAATTTTTAGATCCTTTAAATCCCATACAGTGAAACAATTCAGGCAAAGTCATAACGTCTTCATGGAGACTAACAGGTGGCATATCATCCATTTGGAGGTATTATTAGGTATAATAAAGCATTAGACATTTATGTGAATTTACTTTTAAAACTCTTTCAATTGTTAAAAAAATGTAACAATAAAACATTCATTATTTATTTTTATTTATTTAACAACAATCTTTCAAACTTAAATTCCACAAGATTAACTGACTGACCCTGTTCAACCAAGTGAAACATCCAGCCACACACTTTCTCTATCAATTTTACACTATTTTCTGATTTTTGTTATAATGTTGTATCGTCATCAAAAACATACATCAAATTGTGTTTTTATATACATGTTTAACACACAAACCCTGCATATTTAGGCTGAGTTCTTCTCTTAAACTAAGAAAACTCTGTTCCACCTTGTGATGTCATGTGGTAGGAAGTATTAAACTCCATACAGCTTCACTGGAATCATTTGGATGATTTAAGCCCTGAGATTGACAATCTATTGTAAAAACAAAAGGTAAAGATAACTGCTAACTTAAAACTACCTCTTCATGACATCACAAGGTGGAAGTATTTTGAGCTTTGGAGACAGACTAATAATAAACAAATAAACAAAACACAACTCCATGTATGTTTTTGATGAGATAACAACATCCCTAACCCATGTCTGGGCGTGTCTCCTTTAGTATCTTCCCATCTCCGGAGCAGCAGTTGTCTCTCTCTCTCAAACCAGCGGCCCACAGCACGGGTGGCTCTCTGCCCGACCTCACCAACCTCCAGTTCCCCCCTCCTCTGCCCACGCCCCTGGACTCGGAGGACACCGGGGCAGGCACCTACGGCAGCTTACACTCACTCAACACACAGCAAGGTAACAGAGCTTTTACTTTACTCATATAGGATCAATGGGCAGTCTTTTTCATTTAGGGATTTATAGCATTTTCGATAAAGGAACACTGTGATACCTGTAACTTAATTGTTGATCTATGTTTGTTGTATCTGTCCCTATTCAAATGAACAATAAATAAAATGAACAGAGAAACAATGTTGACTAATATATATTGTTCATACACTATTATTTATCTGATGTGGAAAAAATCGTGCTATTAAGCGCTAGTGTTTACCCCAGTCTCTGTGAGTCTGTTCCCAGTTTGTGCTCAGTGCATCATTTATTTAACCGGGCTCATGACTGTAGTTGAACCATGGAAATGAACCAATGATGTGGCCCAACCTCCTTGTCAGAGCCTTGTCACATCTCAGAAGCTAAACAGGGCTGGACCTGGTTAGTACTTGTATGGGAGAGCGCAGGGAATACCAGGTGCCACAATGTGGGGTGCCATTGGCAAAAACACTGTTGTTGTGTCCTTAGGCAAGACATGTATGAATGTGGTATATGTTTGAGTGTTGGTTGGACATGTCGATGGCGCAGATTGGTGGCCTCACTTTTGTCAGTCTGTCACAGGGCAGCTGTGGCTACAATAGTATCTTACCATCACCGAGTGTGGAGGGAATAATGCACCAAATAGTAAAGCAACTTTGAGTGTCTGCACTATTTAAGACTATGGCATTATCATTAATTATAAATTAAAGGGATAATGAAGCTCAAGAGGTAACTGTATGTTTACACAAGTACAATAAAAATATAACAAAACATTTTTACAGATAAATACATTTCAAATGTTTGTGAGTATGCATCATTTCACTCGTAACTTATTCTAAGAGGAGTACTAAGATGTATAGATGTATAAGAGCTCATTTTACTGCAGCTCCACTCAAACAGTGAGAGATACACGACTACATTCATACTATAATACTCCCTACAGCTGTACAACAACTCACCCTTATGTAACATATAATAGTCCCTAAAACTGAACAACAGCTCACCCTTATGTAACAGGTAATACTCCCTACAACTGTACAACTCACCCTTATGTAACAGATAATACTCCCTACAACTGTACAACAACTCACCCTTATGTAACAGGTAATACTCCCTACAACTGTACAACAACTCACCCTTATGTAACAGGTAATACTCCCTACAACTGTACAACAACTCACCCTTATGTAACATATAATACTCCCTACAACTGTACAACAACTCACCCTTATGTAACAGGTAATACTCCCTACAACTGTACAACAACTCACCCTTATGTAACATATAATACTCCCTACAACTGTACAAACAACTCACCCTTATGTAACAGATAATACTCCCTACAACTGTACAACAACTCACCCTTATGTAACAGATAATACTCCCTACAACTGTACAACAACTCACCCTTATGTAACAGATAATACTCCCTACAACTGTACAACAACTCACCTTATGTAACAGATAATACTCCCTACAACTGTACAACAACTCACCCTTATGTAACAGATAATACTCCCTACAACTGTACAACAACTCACCCTTATGTAACAGGTAATACTCCCTACAACTGTACAACAACTCACCCTTATGTAACATATAATACTCCCTACAACTGTACAACAACTCACCCTTATGTAACAGGTAATACTCCCTACAACTGTACAACAACTCACCCTTATGTAACAGGTAATACTCCCTACAACTGTACAACAACTCACCCTTATGTAACATATAATACTCCCTACAACTGTACAACAACTCACCCTTATGTAACAGGTAATACTCCCTACAACTGTACAACAACTCACCCTTATGTAACATATAATACTCCCTACAACAGTACAACAACTCACCCTTATGTAACAGATAATACTCCCTACAACTGTACAACAACTCACCCTTATGTAACAGATAATACTCCCTACAACTGTACAACAACTCACCCTTATGTAACAGATAATACTCCCTACAACTGTACAACAACTCACCCTTATGTAACAGATAATACTCCCTACAACTGTACAACAACTCACCCTTATGTAACAGATAATACTCCCTACAACTGTACAACAACTCACCCTTATGTAACAGATAACTTTGTCATTCATCATATCATTTTTTCTTAGTTTTCCTTACAGCCTTTTATATATAGCTGAGATATTTTTATTATTTATTTCAATTTTATTTTATTTTTACTTTACTTATATAATTATGCCTTATTTGACATCAGGCTCTTGTTTTTTTGCTACTCATTTAGAATTTATTATTACCATTTATATTTTTTTTCTTTGCTATTATAATTTAAAGTGATGTGTGACCTCCTGTGTCCAAATCATTTCTCTCGTGGATAAGTAATGTTTGTCTAAGTTGAAGTCCAGAATAGTTAAAAAGCCTGTCTAATGCACTAGTATCTTTTAAAAGAATGATGCCATAGATGTGCTTTTCCTTCCTGTTGACTTGTGTGTGGTGCTTTGGGTAGGAGTGAACGCCTCTCAGCCCCCGGTCGCCATGGAAACGCAGAGCCAGCCGGACATGGTTCCTCTGATGCTGAACGCCGGCGAGTCACACCACCAGCAGCTGTCCCCCACGTCCCCCCCTCTCACTCTGTCCCAGGTAACAAACTACCCCCCCATACTATTTTAAACTGGGGTATTACGCAAAATGTGCCGTTTGGAGCTTTCAAAAACAGGTCTGAAGTGTTTTTTTGATGTCATCCATGCATGTTTGAGTAATTTAGTGTTCTCTCCCTGGCCCTATTCAAACAGTCTTTATGGTTAGCTGTATGATGTTATCCAAAGTTCAGCCCATAAATCTACAATTTTCCATAAATATACAAAAGCATGATACAAAACAATATACTACAACTTCACAAACCTGATGTGATATGCTGTAGTTTCATTAGTGGAATGCATGCTGATTGTGTTGTGCTGGCGTTCTGAAGGGGGAGTGACCCAGAGAGCAAAGAGAGGGGAGACACAGAATGTTAAAAACAAAACTAACTGAACTGAGCATTTTCAAAACAAACGGTAACCTAGTGATCTTAATATGTTATGTGTTAGCAGTTATACCCCAGAGAAGTATAATACGCTGCACAACTTTTCTGGTGGAGAAAAGGGAAAGTTACTGCTTTCTGTGGAATGTTCCATGGTATGACATTAAACATACATCTAGCATTTATTAATTATGGGTGTTTCTATTGCTCAAAAATACTGTACATTAATTCCTTCTGTGAATAGAGGCGCTTCTACACAGATCAGAATTATAATGCAGTGTAGTGTTGTAACCTGCTTGTCCCCCTTCTGGTTTAATCTATACTATGGAACATTCTAGACAAAGTTATAACGTTTGGAGACAAGCAGGTGGTGCACCCTCCACAAAAAATGTTACGCAGTGCATAACTGCATAATTTATATGTATCCAAGTTGTCCTCCCTAAAGTTTGTTGGAGAGTGGTATGTTGTGTTGTTTACTTGTATTGAGTCTGCAGAGTTGTCTGGAAGTTGGAGTAAACACATCAATATTAATGCAGATCAGACACAGGGCCACATTTGACTGTGATTGACAGCGGTGTGTGAGGAAGGAATTTTGATCATTGTTAGACACCTGCTGCTGGGTTTCTGATGACATCACAATTCAAATTCAAATTCAAAAAAGTTAATTGTGAATTCTTCATATGAAACTTGTGAAGAATTGAAAGTTTGTTTCCCACTCCCAAGCATATAAATAAAAAATAAGAAATGGAAAAGTCCAAGTGTTCTTCTTTAGGGAGATGCAGATTCCTGCTTCCTGGCAGCCTGGTGGTTAGAGAGGGGAGAGAGTTCAGCATCCTAACAGCCTGGTAGATGAAGCTTTTAGTCAGTCTGGTGGTGCAGGAATGGAGGCTCCTGTACCCCCTCCCGGAGAGCAGGAGGCTGGACAGATTGTGTGTGAGGTGACTTGCATCACTCACAAATGTGATGATATTGCAGGTGAGGTGGGTGTGTATATGCGGGTGAGGCGGGTGGTGGCGGGTGATGTATATGCAGGTGAGGCGGATGGTGTATATGCGGGTGGTGTATATGGGGGTGAGGTGGGTGATGTATATGCGGGTGAGGCGGGTGATGTATATGCAGGTGAGGTGGGTGGTGTATATGCGGGTGAGGCGGGTGATGTATATGCGGGTGAGGCGGGTGATGTATATGCGGGTGATGTATATGCGGGTGAGGCGGGTGATGTATATGCGGGTGATGTATATGCGGGTGAGGTGGGTGGTGTATATGCGGGTGAGGCGGGTGATGTATATGCGGTGAGGCGGTGATGTATATGCGGGTGTGTATATGGGGTGGCGGGGATGTATATGCGGGTGAGGCAGGTGATGTATATGCGGGTGAGGCGGGTGATGTATATGCGGGTGAGGCGGATGGTGTATATGCGGGTGGTGTGTATGGGGGTGAGGTGGGCGGTGTATATGCGGGTGAGGCGGGTGATGTATATGCGGGTGATGTATATGCGGGTGATGTATATGCGGGTGAGGTGGGTGATGTATATGCGGGTGGTGGCGGGTGATGTATATGACTTGCAGGGAGAGGAGTGGTGCACTACTGATCTTGGCTGTGTTCACTATGCGCTGCAGGACTCTCCTGTCGCGGTCAGTGCAGCTTTCACCCCACACAGTGATGCAGCTAGAAAGGATGCTTTCAGTGTTTCCTCTGTAGAATGTGCTCATGATGGTGGTGAGGCACTTGACCGCTTGAGTTTTCACAGGAAATAGAGGTGCTTCTGGGCTTTCTTCACCAGTGATGCAGTGTTAGTGGTCCAGGAAAGGGGACGTTCCCCTGGGACGTTCTATAGGACAGGACAGGCCTAATCAGAGGTTTAATCTGTTTTTGCATGAACTCCTCCTACAGGTTTAGTCTAGTGCAGTTTGGGTCAGATACACAATTGGTAGTTTTTAGATTTTAGAATGTGATGATGCCATACTTCCTGACGGGGGGGCAAGGGGCAGATTTTCCTTTTAATTACATTGTACTTTACTATGAATAATAATATTTTCTAGCAGTAACTAGGGACCCTAGAACTTGCTATGTAACAACTGTTTAAAATTATATTTTATTTTTTGCTGCCCCTTGTCTGTATTAAATAATAAAGGCCTACAGAATGTTGTGGTTAGGGGATGTAGAAATAACTGAAATATTGTGATAATGTATCATCAGGTCTCTTACAAATCTCATACAAGCCTCTTCACTTAAATGAATAGTTATGGTTAGGGAACTCCTTGTCTTTTCAAGGCATTTTAAGAAAAAAGGAAAAAGGAAAAAGTAGAAGATTCACAGTTTTATTAGCCTCCACAAAATATCGTAATAAATATGGTGTTGTATATTGTTGTTGTATATTATTAAAATATTGTACAGAGATCATCTGAAACCCAGCAATAGTTTTGAGAGATTTTGCCATGCCTCTTTTTTAGTCAACATGCCTTTAGTTGACCACAAATTTCTTTAGTGGACTGTAGCCCCACTCCCATGGTAACACAGTCCAACACTTTCCTCCATGTTAGAAAAGCCAAAGAGCAGTTCCTTGTCCACTCTTTAGTATTGATCTGTGTTGTGCCACCTGACTCTTTAGGCCAGTCCACTGAAGTGTGCTGACAGTGTGTTGATGTCTCCTCAGGCTGCGATCAATGCCATGAACCTGGAGCAGCAGCTGTCTCAGTACGCCTTCTTCAGCCAGCAGCCCCCAGCTCCAACGCACCACAGCCAACAAGTCAGACACTCTTTACTCAACTTCCCATTCACCCCAGGCTTTGGTTTATTTTGGACAGTAGTGGATGAAGTACTCCATTTTGTTACATAAGTAAAAGTACAGATACAGAGGCAAAATGTTACTCAAGTAAAAGTTGAAGTACTACATGAAAAACTGTACTTAAGAGTATTTGCAGAGATTTTTAGTATAATTAAAGGATAAATGTAGAGATTTTGATCAAGAACTTAGCTGTTTTTAAGTGATTCAATTAATTTCTTTATGACTTAATTTTTGTGTTTTTGTGTACTTGGTTTGCTCAAAGTTTCGACGGAAACTTAACTCAAATTAAATGTGCTAGAATATAAAGTCTTTTTCAGCAGGTCTCACATCATAAAGAAAAATACTATTTACTTTTCACTCCAGATCTAAAATGTAGTGAAGTAAAAAGTACAGATACCTGTTCTCAAATGTACTGAAGTAGAAGTTAAAATTAAAAGTAAAAAGTATCCACTGTAAAATGTACTTTTATTTTTGTACTTTGTTACTTTCCACCACTGGTTTTGGAAATGCATTTTTTAGGTAATTCAGCTGTTGCCATGTAATTCTGCTCAGAATTAATCAAAATTAGCCTCTTAACATAATTGCCCAAGTAATTTTTCAAGTTTTTTGGAAAAATAGAAAACAAAGCTATGAAAGTAATGTGTATTTTGGTTGTAAATTTATTTATGTATTGATTGATTCTGAAAAAATAGAAGAACAAGAATGCCTAGTTCCATGAGTTCTTACTTACATACTTTTACAGGTAAAGTTAAAGGTGAACCATGTAACTTTTCTGGTGGAGGGTGTGGAGGTAATGTTACACAGTATATCTAGGCCAAGTAGGTTACACCACTAGGCCAAGTTACTGATCTGATCTGCGGAGAGGTGAGCCTGCTCACTTTAAGAATGCTTCTTTTTTTAATAAAACGTTTATAATTGAATAAACGCTAGATAGATGATTTTAATAGAGACCAGCACGTGACATTTGGGAATTCAGAAAAGTTACATAGTGCACCTTTAAAATGCTATTACTATACTATCCAGTGACTATGCTGTAAAGTAAAGTACTATCAGTTTGACTTGTACATTTAGATGTTGATATTTTTGATTTGATCTTATTATGTGTGTTACCATGAAATATGACATACTTCTTATATAACAAACCCCGGTCCTGAACTTTGTCCTCTGTGCCGTGCAGCAGACGGGTTTGGTCCAGATGCCCTCCCTAAACTCCACCACAGACAACCAGAGCACACCTCAGAACAACATGACCATCGATATGAACGTGGTGAGCTGATTTTAGTCTTTTCTCGCAGGGCCCAAAGCTCTGGTAAATGTGTCAAGGTTACATCTTTAAGTAGGCTTGTTTAACTGCACTGCACCACAGCACTCTATATACAAATAAGCATCCAGAAAACTTGTTATTTTTTTTCTTTGGATTTGTGCATCCGTCAGAGCTTAAATAAGGAATATTTTCACAGCTAAAAAGGCTTTCATTTTCTGTTTAGTGTCAGAAATAATATGAGAAGGAAGTTAGTGCAAAACTGTCAGTTGGTAAAGACAGTATGTCAAAATTATTAACAGTTTTTGACAATTTGGATTCCAATTTGCATTTGTGATTTATTTGTTGTTAAAAGGTGCACTGTGCAACTTTTTTGGTCTGTGACTGGCTTGTCTCCATGGAGATGTTGTTGCGTTGCCTGGAATGCTACACAGTATAGCCTTAATCTGTCTAACATTTATTTCATTATAGGTCTTTTAAGTGAAAATTGAAAAATTACGCAATGCACCTTTAAACTGCAACCAATTTGCAATGATTGAAATAACTATTTTTATTTCATCTTAATAAATTATACAACTCAAAATTTCTAGCCTCTAAAAATACTGACCAAATTGCATGCCCTTTTTTGAAACTACAACTAATTTTTGCTAATACATAATTATAGCCTCTTTAAAGAAGCATTGTGTAACACTTCTAGTGGAGGCTCCGCTACCTGCTTGTCTCCATGGAAGTTTTATTGCTTTTTAGAATGTTCCACAGTATAGAGTAAACCTTATTACCACGAGGGAGACACGCAGGTCACAGCACTACGCTACATTGCAAGTCAGATCTGTGAACAGTCGCCCCATTCACAGAACAAATGATTGTATTTTTGAGCACTCGAAACACCTGTAATGAATAAATACTGGATGAATATGTTTAATGCCATAACATGGAACATTCCAAGCAGAGCAATAACATTTCCATGCAGACATCTAGGTAGCATAGCAAACGCTTTTCTCCATGGAGATGTTATTGCTTTGGCATTAAACCTTTCTATCTTCTCTTGGAGACCGAACCAGACCGAGTTATGGGTCAGATCTGTTTTTCTAGGTATTTTTGAGCTATAAAACCACCTGTAATTGAATAAATGTAAGATAGAACTGGTTAATGTCGTACTGTGGAACATTCCAGGCAAAGCAACAACATTTCCACAGAGAAAAGGATTTGACAGACCCTCCACCAGAAAAGTTGCTCAGTGCACCTTTAAGCAGATTTTCAAGGCTATAGTTTTGATTCTAATGCTCCTCTATTAGCTTGTTTATTTAATCTAGTCTTCTTCACTGTGAGTCTGACCATGATCTGAAGTTGTGCAGTGTTCAGTCCCTGGGCTCAAATAGTCTTTCTCTCACCAGCTTCCAGCTCCATGAATTATACATCCATAAGGCAGTTCAAACAGTGTTTTTAATGTAGCACTGAGCCAACACTGAGCCTGCACCAGATATGAGCATTCTGCAATTCACACTCACTCCGTACAGTGCATCAAAACATGAATATGGGTTTTACTGCAGTTCTATACATTATACATTAGTGTCAGTGAAATGCTGTGGATGTTTTTTTTTTTTTCGTTCTTTTTTTATGGTGCAAGGTAGGAAATGAGGTCGGAAAGGAGGTAAGAAACAAGGTTGGAAATGAGGTAGGAATCGAGTTTGGAAATGAGGTAGGAAATGATGTAGGAAACAAGGTTGGAAATGAGGTAGGAATGGATGTAGGAAAGGAGGTAGGAAACGAGGTTGATAATGAAGTAGGAAACGAGGTTGGAAATGAGATAGGAAATGAGGTAGAAATTGAGGTAGGAAATGAAGTAGCAAATAAGGTAAGAAATGAGGTAGGATATAAGGTTGGAAATGAGATAGGAAACGAGGTAGGAAATGAAGTAGGAAAGGAGGTTGGAAATGAGGTTGAAAATGAGGTGGAAATGAGATAGGAAACAAGACAGGAACCTCGTGTCCTACACAGGACATGTTGAAGTTGACCAATAGCAGGAGTGGGCGGGGAAACGCAGATGTGACTTGCTGAAAGTCTAAAAGTTGAATGAGGAGGTTCTGAAGAGTTGTGTCTTGTGTCAGTGTCAGGCCTTCTCCCAGTACCGCAGCCGAATGGGATCCTCGGCCAATCAGTCGCCCACGTCCCCAGTCTCCAACCAAGGCTTTTCCCCCGGAGGCTCGCCCCAAGTAAGGCCCAGGACCGCTCCAAACTGCTCCAACCTGCTCCAAACTGCTCCAAAATGGTTTAAACTGGTTCTGTCCCAATGTAAAACCAGTCTAAACCACTTTACACTGGCTGAGTGGAGTCTAAATCCGTGGCTTTCCCCTATAGCTGCTTCTGTGATATTGTTAGCAGATCTGGGCAAAATTTGATGAATAGTAGAAATGAATTTATTATACGTTTTAAAGGTCCTATATTACACTAAATGGCTTCTTATGAGCTTTAAGCCATGTTAGAATATTGTGACCTCATCAAAAACAAACCTGGAGTTGTGTTTTGTTTCACACATGTTTGAGTAATCCTGCAGTTTACATCTCAAAGCTCAAAATGCTCTGTTGCACCTTGTGATGAAGTGGTATTTTCAAGTTAACATCTTGAAATAGATTGTTAATTCCAGGGCTGAAATTATCCAGATGATTCTAGTGAAGGTGTGTGGAGCACTTCCTGGTTTACCACATGACATCACAAGGTGGAACAGTTTTCAGTTTGAAAAAAGAACTCAGCCTAAATATGTAGAATCTGTGTGTTAAACATGAATGAAACAAAACAATGAAATAAATGAAACAAAACAATGAATAAAACAAAACCGCAGGTCTGTGCAGGTGTGTTTGTGATGAGGAAACAACATTAAAACATAGATCAGAAAATGGAAGAAGATGGGCCCTTTAATGTACATCAGGACACTAGGTCATTCTATTGAAACTCTCATAGTGGTCGCTTCTCTTTGCCCAGATCTAAGTGCGTTCTCTGGTGTCGTTGCCGTGGCGTTGCCCTTTGACCTCTCCTCGCCGCTTCTCTGTGCGTAGTCCCACAGCACTGTGTCCTTGGTCCCATGTTTTTCCTGTTTTTCCTCGAGCCAGATGTCGTGTAGCTTGTATGTTGTGCTGCTGATTATTATGTATGTAAATTCTGTTTGGATTGAGACCTGAAGGTAGGCACTGCTCACAAACTTGGAATATATGTTATGGTGGATATCTGTGTGTTTTGTATTAGTTTTTATGTGTATTTATATTCATAATTACTGTACGTCCTGTATGTTGTGGCAGTTATTTTTACATTGTCTCTTTATAACTGCTGCTGTATACACAGTCATTTATTTCAGTTTGTTAAAAATATTTAGTTATTTAGAGTTATTTAACTTTATTTGCTTCATAATTCCATATATCTCTCTGCCCCTCTCTGCCCCTCTCTGCCCCCTCTCTGCTCCTCTCTGCCCCTCTCTACCCCTCTCTGCCCCCCTCTGCTACTCTCTACCGCTCTCTGTCCCTCTCTACCCCTCTCTACCCCTCTCTACCCCTCTCTGTCCCTCTCTACCCCTCTCTGCCCCTCTCTGCCCCTCTCTGCCCCTCTCTACCCCTCTCTTCCCCTCTCTGTCCCTCTCTACCCCTCTCTGCCCCTCTCTGCCCCTCTCTGCCCCTCTCTGCCCTCTCTCTCACCCTCTCTGCTTCTCTCTGCCCCTCTCTGCTCCTCTCTGCCTCTCTCTCACCCTCTCTGCTCCTCTCTGCTCCTCTCTGCCCCTCTCTGCTCCTCTCTGCCTCTTTCTCACCCTCTCTGCTCCTCTCTGCCCCTCTCTACCCCTCTCTGTCCCTCTCTACCCCTCTCTGCTCCTCTCTGCCTCTCTCTGCTCCTCTCTGCCCTTCCCTGCCCTTCTCTACCCCTCTCTACCCTCTCTCTGCCCCTTTATGCCCTGGGGGGGGGGCATGTGGACTGACTCATAATTCAGTTTTCTTGCGGCTGCTCATGATCTAATTACTCCAACATTATAAAGAAAGCAGAGTCCATTGAGCCGTTCTCGCTCTGGAGCTTCTGTGAGCTCGTCCGCTGGGAAACTTCAGGATTAGCCTCTTTTTAACCACTTTGACAAGGAGAAGGGGAATTATAATTTCAGTGAATTTTACTGGATTTGATTTAGCTGGTGTTAATTAAAACATGAAGGCCAAAGGGAGCAGAGTGGAGCTTCTTAAAGAAAGTCAATGCTGCAATGTCCTCTTATGACCAGAAAGGGGCTTTACCAGTTTTGTTTAGATTTTTTTCATGCAATAAAGTAAAAGAAAAAAAAACATATATTATATATATTGTAAATTTAGGCTCAAAATGAGGCCACTGTGTGCTGTCTGCATCTAATTATGAAGTATTTATATAACATTTGTGAACCAGGAGGTAAGGCTCATAGAACTATACTAAAATCTAGAAGGTGAACCCAAGATGGCGCCGTGTTGTTTTCAGTGGTGCTGGTTTTCTGTGCTCTTTAGTACATGGGCCCAAACATAATTTTCTCTTTTGTATTACTTCCTCAGTACGGGCTAGGTCCTCCCATCCATGTGATGTCTGTAACGTGCATGGCGTGGAGCTTTTGGACCAATCAGACCTAGAGCTGCAAGAGCGGAGCTAGCACGGGCTCAGAGCTGGACTAGGCTCAGAGGGGGACTAGGCTCAGAGGGGGACTAGGCTCAGAGGGGGACTAGGCTCAGAGGGGGACTAGGCTCAGAGGGGGACGAGGCTCAGAGCTGGACTAGGCTCAGAGCTGGACTAGGCTCAGAGGGGGACTAGGCTCAGAGGGGGACTAGGCTCAGAGCTGGACTAGGCTCAGAGGGGGACTAGGCTCAGAGCTGGACTAGGCTCAGAACGGGACTAGGCTCAGAGCTGGACTAGGCTCAGAGCTGGACTAGGCTCAGAGGGGGACTAGGTTCAGAGGGGGACTAGGTTCAGAGGGGGACTAGGCTCAGAGGGGGACTAGGCTCAGAGGGGGACTAGGCTCAGAGGGGGACTAGGCTCAGAGGGGGACTAGGCTCAGAGCTGGACTAGGCTCAGAGCTGGACTAGGCTCAGAGCTGGACTAGGCTCAGAGCTGGACTAGGCTCAGAGGGGGACTAGGCTCAGAGGGGGACTAGGCTCAGTGTTACAAAGCTAACTTCTAGGCACTCTGAGGATTTAAACATTTTAAAAAGTTTATGTTCAGAAAAGAATCACTACAAAATCCAACCTTTGTGAAAGTTGTGCTGTTGTTAGCATTACAGTGATAATTTAACTCAAAATTTTCTCTTGAGAGTGTCAAGCCGTGTTATAATATTGTTACCTCTTCAAAAACAGAGCTGCAGTTGTGTTTTGTTTCATTCACACATGTTTGACTAATCCTGCATTTTTAGTCTGTCTACATCTCCAAAGCTCAAAATGCTCTGTTCCACATTGTGATGTCATGAAGTGTTTGTTTTCAAGTTTAACGGCTCCTTTTTACCTTTTTTTAATAGAGATTAAATACACAGTCAAGCACTTCATGTATTACTACATGACATCACAAGGTGGAACAGAGTGTTTTCTGTTTGAGAGAAGAACTCAGGATAAATCTTCAGAGTTTGTGGGTTAAACGTGTGTGAATGAAATAAACAATAAACAACTCCAGGTCTGTTTGTGATGAGGAAACAACATTAGAACACAGATCAGAAAATAGTTTAGTATTGGCCCTTTAAGGAAAAGTCTAAAATCATGGCTAAAATAGGCCTATATCAATCTCTCTGTTACATTTCAAATTTGCAAACCTGTTTGTAAAGTCACTGAAATCCCTACAGGAGATCTTTTCACACTCCAGATTCTTTTCTTGCTCAGATCATAAAAGATGTAACAGATCTGTATATTAGATTCCCACCGTAGCCATGTGTTAGTGCACATCTTTGTCTAGTGACAGGATCAAATGGCCTTTATACAATATATAGATATTGTTCATTTTTTCTGTTTTACTGAAATTTCAAAATAAGGTTACAACAAAGAAGAAATCTACTGTAGTTCATCTAAAATGCAAGACAAAGCAGGATTATTTGTCCATTTTATTTTCAGAGGGGATAGAGTAGCCAAAAATGTAACTCAAGTATAATATTCAAAATAATATTACTCAAGTAGAAGTACAAAGTAGTGGTCCAACAAAATTTTAAAGGTGCATGATGTAACTTTTTGTTTGGGGGTCTGCCACCTGCTTGTTTCTATGGAGATGTCATCGCTCTGCCTGGAATGTTCCACGATGTCACTTTAAACAGATCTACTTTACATTGATTCAATTACAGCTGGTTTAATAACTCAAAAACACCTAGAAAAACAGACATTCTGACTGTGAGCGGGGTCGCCTCTCTAGAAAGGTTTAATAATATACTCTGAAACATTCCAGACAAATCAATAACATCTCCATGGAGAAAAGCATTTGATGGACTCACCACCAGAAAAGTTACATAGTACATCTTCAAAGAGTAACTGTAACTGATTTATAATATGAAGTGAAATAACACAAAATCTTGTATTTTCAAAGGACAGACACAAAAATTGGAAGAACAAAATCATATCTGAAGGAGCGGAGCAAAAAACACAAATATTCAAATCATTCCATATTGTCACTTGTAGACTCACAGTGGGAAGAGGAGCCAAAACTTTTTATTCAAGTAAGAATACTGTTACTTCAATAAAAATATTACTAATACTAGATACTAGATAGATAAAATACTAGATGTAGTAAATGTAACTCCCACCTCTGCTTGGCTTAGTTTGTGCTGTATTTAGTATGTCGTGAGTGGTTCTCATGTTATTCTGATTTAAGCCTTAGCTCTGCAGTGACCAGCGTGCTCTCACCACGGATACTGCACTCTGCTCCATGCGGAAGAGTCTGCACTGATGTCTTGGGGCATTTTTAAAAGCAACTCCTAAAAACAAGATTGTTGACATGTTCCCGTGGATTTGTTATTTTCACGTTTTTTTTTGTTTTTTTTTTTTACTTTACATCATACTAGGCAAAATGAAACTTACGGGTACTACAAGGCAACAGACGGACCCAACGAATAGTTTTTTTCTGACTAGATCATCATTTTTCACATCAGGTTTCTATAAATATACAAAAGCATGATACAAAACAATATATTATAACTTCATAAGCCTGATATGATGTGTCATAGTTTGATTAGTGGAGTGCACAGTGATTGTAATGACATGGAGCTCTGAAGGGGGGTATATACCATATAAAAGGACATAGCTAACCCACTAGCCGCCGCTGTGTTCCAAATCCAGATACTGTACTCTGCTCCATGGGGAAGAGCCTACATTGATGTCTTGGGGTGTTTTTAAAAGCCACTCCTAAAAACAAGATTATTGACATGTTCCCGTGGTTTTGTTATTTTCAGTTTTTTGGGGGGGAACTTTTTACCTCATACTAAATAAAATAGACTAAATGAAACTTACACCCCTGTGAATAATAGATTCAAACGGTTTAAAAGTCCTATATACACAAAATTGACTCTTGTGAACTTTAAGCCATGTTGTTACCTCATCAGAACTATACCTAGAGTTGTATTTTGTTTCATTCACTGACCAATCCTGCATTATTAGTGGCAAAATGCTCTAAATGTTCCACCTTGTGATGTCATGAAGTGGTAGCTGTCAAGTTAAGAGCTACATTTTACCTTTAGAACAGTAGAGAACTATTCCAGAGCTGAAATCTGATTCTAGTGAAAGTGTATGGTTTAAAAACACAGAGGAGTGCTTCCCATATTACCACATGAAGTCACAAAGTGTTTTCCGTTTGAGAAAAGAACTCAGCCTAAACGTGCAGGGTTTGTGTGTTAAACATGTGTGAATGAAATAAAACACAACTCCAGGTCTGTTTGGGATGACGACACAACATTAGATCAGAAAATAGTGTCATATAGGTCCTTTAATCATGACGTTCTTTAAGTGCATATGACAGGTTTTCATGTTTTTCTAATTATTACTTACTTTGGTAGGAAAGTGTCTGTGGTAATTATTTGTTATAGTTTTACATCAGTTAAGTGGCAGTTAAGAAAAGTACAGAAATACGGGAAGTAGTGCTGAGTTCTGACTGGCCAAGGACTACAGCTCTAGTTTTCAGGAGATTTCTAGACACTCCAGTCTCCCTCATGATGTAATGTGTGTGTGTTTCAGCTGGAGCAGTTTAACATCTTTGAGACTCCCGTGAGCTCGGACAGCCTGCCCTACAGCCAGAACTCCACCCTCAACTACTCCCAGGCCCTCATGATGGGTCTGAGTGGGCCACACCTCCAGGACACGCAGGGGCTGGGCTTCGGTAACCATGGCAACATCCCCAACATCATCCTCACAGGTACTACAAGGCAACAGACAGATGCAGTGAATCATTTTTTTTCTGAATAAATAATAATTTCTCATATAAATATTAGGGCCGGGCACGTTATCCCGTTAACTTTGCGTTAACTAATTAAGTCATTAACGCTGACAATTAGTTTAACGCCGTTAACGCAGTTTTTATTATTTATTTATTTATTTTATTGTAAACGTCTGTTTCTCACATGGCTTTTATTTTGAAAAAGTTAACCGCAAGCATTTCTTTAAGTTTGATGTCTTTTCTTTACACTTTTTTCACTTTTTTCTGACCACGTGAGATGCAACGTGTCCGAGCCTCCGCGGGTTCGGCTGGAGCTGCGGCCGGAGCTGCGGCCAGAGCTGCGGCCAGAGCTGCAGCTGAACCATGGGCTCCGGCTCCGGACGGACCAGCCTTGCGCTCTGAGCTGAGCATGTTTCTTTAGTTCAGTGCTGCAGTCATTGATTTACCCAGATACCATTGGAAGAAAAAATGTGATTGGTCCATTTCCATTCCATTATATTAACCCTTTGTTTCCCAAGAAATATTAGTCCAAGTTTAGATCTAGAAATTATTACTAGGGTTGTGTTCATTACTCACGGCATAAAAAATATTCAATAAATATATTAGTAGTACAAAAGTCCATTCAGTATTTTTTCTTGAGCCTTCAGAATACCTTGAAGGCTCTGAGGGTTCCGCTGTGAAAGAAATGCTGTTTACACAACAAATGTTTGGCTCTTTCATTTACATTTCCAATAAAAGTGTGCTATACTCTAGTTTTTAATTAAATAATTGGTTTTGCGTATAACATGCAATTAATCGCTCGAACTCATGCGATTAATCGCAATTTTTATTTTTTATTTTTTTTGCCCAGCCCTAATAAATATATTTTCCATAAATATACAAAAGCACGAGACAAAACAACACTATAACTATAACTTCACAAGCCTGATACTATGTGCAGTAGTTTCATTAGTGGAGAGCATGGTGATTGTAATGACATGGAGCACTGAAGGGGGGGTGACTTAGTGTAGAGAGCAAAGGGAAGGCAAACTCAGAGTGCCAAAAAAAACAAAACTGAAACTAATTATTGTATTTTTCGCACTGGAGTATAAGTTGCATCAGACAAAAATGTGTAATGAGGAAGAAAAAAACATATATAAGTTGCACTTTTTGGGGGAAATTTATTTTATTATTAAATCAGAAACTAGAAACTGACATTTCCTGTGTAAAGTCAAGTTGTAGTAATAACAATAGAAGAGAGAACAACAGACTGTTAACGTCACATATGAACAGTTCTTCAGATAAACTATAACATAAACAACAGAACAAGTTTACCAAACTCTCCATCTCACTCCAAATCACTAAATCCATTCAATTCTTCATCCTCGGTGTCACTTCTGAGCACCTCCGGAGGTAAACATCAGACTCAACATCACTGCCAGTTAGAATTATTCTGGCCTTTCTGAATCCCTACAGGATGGTTTCAGTGTCATTGAAGTCCAGGCTTTGTCCACCCATCCAGTGACTTCAGGAAAAATTCATGGTGCACTCTCTCAGTTGCCATGAAGTTGTGTTCTCCATCCCCACTTTATGCCAGTCCCTCACGAGTTTCTCACTTACTCCAAACTTTTATTTCTGCTGCCTGATTACCATTTTCGACTGAATATTTCACTATTTGCAGCAGGACAGTGGCTTTTTCTGCAGGAGACATGTGCAGTACGGCGTGAGGTGACAGTGATACAGTAGTAGCAGATACTGACACACAAGCCTAGAGCACCCTCTCGTGACTGTAAGTGTGTGAAAATTATAATATATAAGTTACACCGGAGTATAAGTCGCAGGACCACCCAAACCATGAAAAAAAGTGCGACTTATAGTATTATAGTCCGAAAAATATGGTAAACATGTTTTTCATTTACATTGAAAAAATAACTGCTGCTGTGAGCCTCGTCATTTTTGACTAAAAATGTTCATATTAACCCGCTCTACATGATTTTATTTCACTATTTTTTCCCTAAATCAATTCAAATTCACCCCTATAACTGCTAGCCCCGGTGAGCTTCATTTGACTGAAGCCGAACGCTATAGGTGATGTCACACTCCCTCAGTCAGTCCACATTTTTATAAAGTCTATGGTAAGCACATTGTTTTTGGTGAATATATCTTTTCAAAACAATAAAATGTGAGGGCAAAGTTGTGATCCAAATATTTTATGTGTGTAAGAAATAATCCCCCCTCTTTAACAAAAGATAAAATGCTTCTTAATATGGCAACATAGCATTACTGTCTCACACTAACTGCTTTCCCAACCAGATCCTCCAAAACCAATGAGGACTTGTGACTACTAGCAGTTTATTATGCTTTAATTAGCTTTGAACCCCAGTCTAAATCTGGTTTTGTAGAACTGTTAAAGGCTTAAGTTGCATTAGTGAAAAGCAGTGAGCACAAAGAAAGATAATGAAGAAGAGGAGTGATCTGAGAACAAACCCGCTCTGTCACTTTCAGAACCAGATTGTCAGTTGTGACTTGCATTGTTCCTCAAATGTGTAATTAAGACGTCAAGTCCAAATAATCAGACAGACATTTACAGAATCCTTCACTGTGGCTCTGCTGCCTCTCACTTAAAGCTCTCCTAAAGGGATTTGAGGAAAAAAGCTCAAAAATCTTCATAATTGTTTAAACCTTTGAATTGTATTTGTCAGCTGTGAGTTTAGTGATTGCATGTAAGACCAACAGACAAACAGACCACGCTGATTGGTTTATCCACCTGTCAGCCACACCCTTTGATGCTGATTGGTTAATCCACCTGTCAGCCACACCCTTTGATATTGGGGAAACAGAATATGTCTCCAGATCTACTCGTCATTGTAAAGTTTTGTCAAAGCGTGTGGTACTGGCCGGTTAGGAAACATTTTCCTTCACCACCAGCTGCTTTGTACTTACTTCAATCTGCATTTTATTTTCTGTATTGGTGATACATGTAGGATTTGGCAGTGTTGCGTAGTCAATACTGGTGCAAATTTAAAAAATGTGCTATTTGCTATCGTGATACGCAGCTGTCCATAAGAGATGTTGACAACTGCACGGCTCTTTGTTGTTATGATGTTTGCGATCAGCTCCCACTGGACACCACAAACAATAACTTTCTCAACACATTTGTCATTGAAGCATAATTTATTTACCCTCCCCACACACACCTGTACCTCTGCTCTCTCTCTCTCTCTTGCAGTGAGCGGCGAGTCTCCCCCCGGCCTGAACAAAGACCTGGCTTGCCTCTCCACAGAGCTAGACCTGGACTCTCAGTTTCCCCTCGACGACCTGAAGCTCGACCCTTTGACCCTCGATGGACTGCACATGCTCAACGACCCCGACATGATCCTGACGGACGCCGCCACAGAGGACGCCTTCAGGCTGGACCGGCTGTGACCCCGCCCCCTCCCCGCTCCCTCCACCAGCTCTGTATGTAACCACACTACACCCTGGGTTTGGACTGACAGGCAGCAGAGAGGGAGACACAGCCAACCCAAGTGTCTCGCAAAGGTTACTGTACAAATGTGTTTGATTTACAGCCATTCTCTCACATGAACTGCTATGTGATGTTCATGCTTGTATTTTATTAGGCCTTCAAATCATTGTTTATTTTACATTTCTTGGCTGCATCTGAAGGCAACATATCACAATTACACTTTTTAACAGGGGTCCCCTTTCCCCAGGTCTATGACTATCTGCTGCTGAAGCCTAGAGGAAATGCTATATATATTTGAAAATGTATTATTTTGAAGTCCCTGTGTTTTATAGGATTGTTTAAAAGGTTATCACAATTGATGCTTGTCCCTGGTTGGCTAATCCATCTGTCAATCATGTCCATTTGAAAACAGGGAGATTCAGACCCACATCTTCGTAAAGTGTTTGAAGAAGTGTGTATTCTGGATCCCAGGCAATAAAACGATAAAATATAAGCCTCAAAAATGGCCCTAAACTTCGCTTATGCACTTGAACCTCAACTCAAAGCAATTACAGGGACATTTTCTCAGACTTGGACAAACTTTATTGATCCACAAGAGAAAAATTTAAGAGCCAACTTAGGAAATACGATTTTTTACATTTTACGCTGTTGTTTTAATTGGTTTCCTTGTAACTGTACTGGTACTTATGAAAAAAGAGGTTGGGGACAGCTGTTTGAGAAGCTCTTAGCAGTTATGAAATGAACATGCAAATACTTGTCTCAGTCTCAACTGTCTAAAATGGCATGAACACCACATAGCTAGTATTGTTAGTGACTGGAATATTCAATGGCAACTTTATTATGTTTACCTAGAATCACGATTTTACTCTGAAACTCTCAGTGCTTGAAAAAATGACTGAATGAACCATTTTAAAGGTGCACTGCGTAACATTTCTAGTAGAGTGTCGGCCACCTGCTTGTGTCTCCATGGAAATGTTATTGCTTTGTCTAGAATGTTCTATCACAAGGGCGACAAGCAGGTTACAGCACCATGCTTACAGGTCACATCTGTGGAGAGTCAACCCTTTTCACAGAAGGAAGTAGGAAGTGGATCCTCCAGTAGTTACACAGTGCATCTTTAAAACAAATTTACATCTGTTACTGTACAAAGTTTAAAAAAAAAAACCTTCTGCACTGTTATGTTTGCCCAAATGTTTTTTAACTTTAATTTTTTTTTATTTGTAAGTTGTTAAATAGCAGTTATCAGTTATGCATGAAATCACAAAACACTGTGCATACTTGTTTTGCCTTAAAAAAAGCTTTTGGTTGCAAAAATAATTAATATTTAAATGGAAAACATATTAGAGTTGTACAGTATATGTGAAATATTTTTATTGTTAAAAAATAGTTTGGTCAAAATCATAGTCGCCCTCTCACTCTCCTTCAGAACTGGAGGAAGACACTACAGACGTATGAACTAAATATATGAATCATATATTCAATCGAATAACTAACATGTTATTTATCTAATGCCTTTTAAGATGCAGAAAGGCGCAGTGTAAATGTATAGCGCCCCCTATTTTTAAGTGGAGTTTTCTATTCTATTGTATTTGTATAGGCTCTAGTGTTGGTAGGAAAACATGTGGCAAAACTCAAGTACGTTTACATGGACAGTTTGTTATTCCAATGATATTTTAAACCAAAACCAGGGGAGTTGACGGGGGGAACATGGGGGTCTGTTGTCCTGGTTCCCAGAGTCGTACTGGCTGAAAAATTAGAACCTCTGCCTGTTAATTAATATTAGAGGGGGGCCCACATGAGTCTTCTTGCCCCATGCCTCCAAATCTGTTGATGGGCCTCTTCAGAACACACAGCATAGTGGCATAGATAATACAGTTCATGCCCTTAAAAAAATGATCTTAAGCTATAAAAACCACATGGTAAAATAAAACAAACACTACGATTTAATGTTGAAAATGTTGTCTAAAGAAAAATTTTTTTATTATAATTGTGGTATTAAATTAGTATTGAGTTTTGTGTCCATAGACCGTATAAAGAACTGGACTATGGGAATGTGATGTAACCCATATCGTTCGGCTCCAGTCAAATGAAGCTCATCAAGGCTGGCCGAATATTTTAAGACCAAAACGACGAGCCTGACAGAAGCATTTACAGAGAGAGGGGCAAAAGAAAGCAATAGAAAATGAACTGGAACCAGTCGATGGAGCCAGTGTTCTGTCGAAACGGGCTTCCTGTCGAAATGAGCTACCAGCAGCCTAAAATGACAGTGACGTGTATCAATTCATACTAACCCGTTGAAATTAGCTACCTTACGTTTTTCCGTTTACAGTTGTATAGATCCAATAAAGCCAACCTCAGTTTTACAACATATTTCTTTGGATTAGAGACGCAGGTTTGATGCTGTTTGCACATGGTGATCATATTTTATACCTTAGTTATGTCATATTTCAACTAATTTATATGATTATGGGTCCGGTCAAGTGGTAACGGAGGGAAACGGGCAGATTTTTGACATTCAAATAGCTCTTATTCAAAAATTAGAGGGACTATTGAAATAAGTAAAGTATCAGAATGTAGGAAAGAGTTACACTCCAACAGGGTCAAGTTAAACCTGTGATTTTCTTTCAAGTTGTTGACAAAAAATTTAAAAACTCATGTTGGTAACGGAGGCAATGAAATATGCAGCACTTTTTGGGCAATAAATCCAAACAGTGATAACTCTTGGTTCTCACTTACATATCCTTAACAAACTGGTTTGAATATTTGCTTCATATAGTTTTCTACCATATGGTACAAGATTAGGTTGAAAAACCTCTTACTTTTTGACTTATGAGATTTTTTATTAAGAAAGGTCATGGTAACGGAGGGAAAAGTAACGGAGGGAAAATTGTGCGAGCAAGTAGAAGGTGCATGATTTTACATCATTTGTCGCTTTTTTCTTCCGAATACTTTAATATTACTTCAAAATGAAAGGAAACTATTTCTATAAAATATGTCAGTCCTTCCAAGCTAATTTTTATCATTTTAAATACATTCTTTTTTTTTTTTTTTGAAAAATCATGTACCTTCATCAACAGTTCAAAGATGGAATAACACAAGATATGATGAAATACATCAATTTATTTACATGATTTGCAGGTCTTTGAAATTTGGGAAATAATTTTTGTTCCATGTTTCATACATGGTCTGTTTAAAACATATGGAACTTTAGAACCAAAAATGGTACAGAAAAAAGGTCAACAGTTTCATAAACTAGAGTACATATGTATCTGTTCAGTACATTTTTATATCAGATGCATTAACTTGAATTTTTGGCCTTGCTGTTTACTTCTGCTTGACCGGGCCCATATGCGTAGGTAGTTCATTTTGACAGTTGTATTATGGTATCACGTAGGGCTCCGACTAAAGGTAGCACATATCAACAGGCCAGTTTAGCCATCGAATAATGCTCCCACTGTAGAATCATCATTATTCTGTCATTTATATGAATATGGGTAGGTAGCTCATTTCGACAGGCCTATATCTTCTATCACATAAGACTCCCATCATAGAAGAGAAAGAAATGACTGGAAACACTGAAATCTTTATATCACAGGCTACAGTGTGAATTTCCTATTATAATATAGTGTTATTTTATTTATACAATGCGGAACATGGAAACATGGAAACGAAATAAAATACGATGTGATGAAAATGATAACGATAAAATCAAATATTAAATCCAAACTATTTAATCGTGTAACGCAGGTTTTCTGCTGCAGATCTAACACACACATGTCGATGTTTAACTGGTTTAAACAGACAATAAAACCAATACACTTTTAAGATGTTATTTTTTGATTCCATTTCTGCCTTGGGAGCTCAAATCGACGGGCATTTAAACTGGAACAGGGCTTGGGGGTCGTGCGTGTGTGCAGTAGCGCTAGGTAGCTCAAATCGACGGGTAGCTCAAATTTACACGACACCGGAAGTGCGCCTGGACTCACTTCGTGTTTGTGACACAGAGGTCAGTGGGTTAGCTCTGTCCAGTTACTGTTACTGTGAGTGTGATCAAGTCTGTTCCTCAGTATCAAAGTATCGAGTTTGAAATGTTGGTGTCATGTCAAGAGTAAAACAAAACTGTCCTGGAAACGTCCTGCCACTCAACTTCCTACTCACACCTGAGAGAGATTTAGCTCAGTCCAGTCAAAGGAGCACTGTAGACTAAGAATTATTATCAAACCCTAAAGATCTATCCAGATGTTTTATGTTTACAACTTTTTGTTTTCTGTTCGACCTGTACAGAATGTGACTGCGTTAGTGTGACGTGAACTATGCAAAAAAAAAATTGATGTCGAAGAGAAATTTAACCCTTAGCGTAAATTAGCGAACCACACACAGCCAGTGCCATGGTGGACTCTTCTTTCTTTTTGAACAATGAGGAAGTGCAGCTCCTTTAGTCGAATGTTGTGTTTTTGCCGATGGGTGAACGCCTCTTCAGTCACAGTGAAACAGAATGTATTTGGTCATGTTTGTAGCCTTTATGTTGTGTCCTTTATGGCTAAGGAGCAGGGCCGTGCGGAGAGACTCTATATACACACTGGCCGTCGCCATGGAAACACTTTAATTACAGGGAGGGGATATATATCGAAAAAATTTATATCAATACTTTTGTTTTGGAGATGTATTGAGTATTGATACTTTGCAGCTGATGTCATGAACATTCTCTGAGGGGCGACGCTAACTTAAGGCACTGCTCTGACTGAAGCTCTGTTACTCAAATTTGGACTTTAACCTGAACTTTTTCTGAACACAATTTGACTAGCGTTTAGCTTCAGCCAAATGAAGCTCATCAAGGCTGGCAGCTGCTGTGAGTATCATAGCAACCAAAGAGCCAATCAGGAGCGAGGCTGTGTACTGTCAAAAATAGAGGCAAAAAATAGGGATGAGCAAAACCTATACAGGAATCGAATATAGGTACTATATAAAAGATAGTCTTATATAGCACTCTTCCAGGTGCTCAAAGTGGCTTTAAAATTTCGAGCATTATGTATTCACAGCTGCCCTGGGGCACACTGAAAGAAACAATGCTACCAATCTATGCCAATGTCCCCTGGGACCACCTCCAGCACATACCACATTCATACTGAACCCTGTAAATTTTGAACCAGGGATGGGCATTTGATTAAATTTTCTTAACCGATCGTTGGGAGAATTAATGATTGATTAATCACTAATGTTTTTTATATTAAAATTTATCATCATTATTATTACTGTTTGCACTACTAATCTGCATAAATAAATTCAACTTTACGACATATAAACCATAAACACTCTAGAGCCACATCAGCCCGTTTGACATTATAATGTGTTAATGCAGATTTGCGCAAGTCTCACTGAAACAAAACTTAAAACCACATCGCTAATTTGCATAAATTAAGCGAAGGGAAAAAAACAGCTCATGTGCACTGATGCGGCACGACTCAGTGGAATAGAGGTTAGTGTGACCATATTTGCATTTGTCAAAACCAGGACACTGTACGGGGGGTGGGAGGTGGGGTCTCGTCATCGACTCTCACCTGGCAAAACTTTTTAATGTTTTTGGCATCCTGGTGAGCGTTTTCCCACTGGACACTGAAACATATGTGCTGCTTTGTACATTGTGCACACGGACTCACACTTGTCCCGACCGGAAAGGAAAGCGTGGAATTTCTTGTACAAGTCATCGTTAAATACACATTTGCACTTTGGCATGTTGCAGACTGACCGACTGTTTGTGTCTCGCTCCTTCTGATGCAGAGAGACACATGTACAGACTCCTGTTTAGTCACGCTACGCACAGCAACCTATATTCGGTTTGTCGATTAAAATTAATGTAATCGATGATGATCAATTATCCATTAATTGACTAATCATGTCCATCCCTATTTTGAACATTGAATTTTTCTCGAGTTTTCAGACTATTTTATAACATATTTGACCGTGTTTTCTAATGTGTGCATTGTGTCACCACCAAGCCCGTGGAAATTTCGGAAACAAGAAACCTCACACGGGCCCCCCTCTAATATAAATGAATGAGAAGAGGGTTCAATTCCAGGCCCTTAAGACCTTGGGGACAATAGATCCATTTTCCCACCTCGTCGACTGCCCTTGTCACCATGGTAACTGCCGAACCTTCCTCCACAGACATACAGGCAGAACACCCCCACTGTGATGTCACCGCAAAGTATCAATATTCGAAAGTTACGATGAATTAGAACTGCAGGTGCATTTCTAAGACAATATAAATGGAATCGTTCATTTGTGTTGATTTTTGAGCTCTTGTGTGTGCAGTAGTGTTTCCTCCAGCCCTCCTCTGATCTCTGTAGAGCTGTGTGCACTTCCGTCTCTCTCAGTATTCCCCTGATGTTTGTACTGTTATCTCGTGCATTGATGTTGCTTCCAGTGTGTGCGTTTGCTTTTTGCACCCCTCTCTCCTCATTGGCACTTTAAACATCGTCTTTTGAACCAAACCCACGTGACTGTTACTGTACGTGCACTGGACCTCTCTGCCCTATCTGTGACGAAACCTGCCTTTATGTAAAATAGAGATGAAAGATCAGAGTTATTTTAAAAGTCAAAAAACAGATTTAAGAAAATATTTTGTTATCCCGCTGGTGCTTTTCCTAAATTTTATAAATTCTGTAAAAGTTCAAACCGGGTGATCGGATATTTCTCTGGGATCGTGCGATGGCCCCCCTTCTGTGCTCTCCTCATGTGCCATGGCTTTGTATTGTCAAAAAACAGAGGCAAAAAAATAGGGATGTACCGATACCGATACTGGCATCAGATATTGGTGCCGATACTGAATGGGTATTGGTTAATATTGATGAAGCAGATATACTGATTGAGCTTTTTATTTGATGTAATAAGGCTGATTTTGACCCAGAACTAACAACTGTTATTAATCCTTCAAAGGAATATGAATATGGGTCCGGTCAAGCAGTAACAGAGGGAAACAGGGGCAGATTTTTAACATTCAAATGACTCTTATTCAGAAACTAGAGGGACTATTGAAATAAGTAAAGTATCAGAATGTAGGAAAGAGTTACACTCCAACAGGGTCAAGTTAAACCTGTGATATTCTTTCAAGTTGTTGACAAAAAATGTAAAAACTCATGTCGGTAACGGAGGGAATGAAATATGCAGCACTTTTTGGGCAATAAATCCAAACAGTGATAACTCTTGGTTCTCACTTCCATATCCTTAACAAACTGGTTTGAATATTTGCTTCATATAGTTTTCTACCATATGGTACAAGATTAGGTTGAAAAACCTCTTACTTTTTGACTCATGAGATTTTTTATTAAGAAAGGTCATGATAATGGAGGGAAAAGTAACTGAGGGAAAATTGTACAAACAAGTAGAAGGTGCAGGATTTTACATCATTTGTCGCTTTTTTCTTCTGAATACTTTAATATTACTTCAAAATGAAAGGAAACTATTTCTATAAAATATGTCAGTCCTTCCAAGCATTATCATTATCATTATCATTTTAAACTTTTTTTTTTGAAAAATCATGTACCTTCATCAACAGTTCAAAGATGGAATAACACAAGATATGATGAAATACATCCATTTATTGACATGATTTGCAGGTCTTTGAAATTTGGGAAATAATTTTTGTTCCATGTTTCATACATGGTCTGTTTAAAACGGATGGAACTTTACAACCAAAAATGGTACAGAAAAAAGGTCAACAGCTTCATAAACTAGAGTACATATGTATCTGTTCAAAACATTTTTATATCAGATACATTAACTTGAATGGCCTTGATGTTTACTTCTGCTTGACCGGGCCCAAAGGTGCACTATGTAACTTTTTGGTCCACCTTTTTTTTCTATGGGTATGTCATTGCTCTGCTTGGAATGTTCCACAGTATGACATTAAATAGCTCTACTTTACATGTATTAAATCACAGGTGGTTTTATTGCTCAAAAATATCTAGAAAAACAGACATTGTGATTGTAAAGTCAAGTCGCCTCTCCACAGATCTGACCTGTAACCTAGCCTGGTTTTGTCTCCATGCTGTTAGAATGGTTTAAAGCCATACTGTGAAACATTCCAAACAAACCAAACAATAACATCTCCATGGAGACAGACAGACATTTGACAGACCCTCCACCAGAAAAGTTACACACTGCACCTTTAACAGTTTTAAGGAAATAAGTATCATTTTCCGTTCCTGCTCTGGTATTGGTTAATATCAGATACTTAAAGCCAAAGTATCGATATCGGAAGTGAAAAAAGTGCATCCCTAACAGAAAGAACAGATTTTGTGATGATCCTGTATTTGTTTAAATCCTGATGCATGAAATGGACTGTACTGTTTCTGTACTGATAATCCAGCACCATAACAATACTTCATTTTGATCATTTTAGAAAGTGTCTGTATCTCTGCGTTCCATTTCTCCTCACAGGTCCACTCTCAGAGTTTCTGTTTCTGTGTTCCAGTACAATTAAAGTTTATAATGACATACAACTAGCAATAAAACTCGTATTGGAACCAGCCAAAAGAAGAATAAATCTTATGAAGCCAGACATTGTTATTACAGTTATATTGTGTTATAAATCAATGTTTGAGAGTGATTGTTTTTGTTGACATTTTCGATATCGATATTGTATCACTAATTTAGTATCACGATATATTGATAGTTCAGTATTTTTGCACCCCCTGTGGACAGTTCAAGCAATCTAAAGTGAGAAAACACAGGTACAATCAATATTTTAACTGTTGAAAATCAAACTTGGAAGTAAAATGTTGCAGAAAAATCCAACCTTTGAGGACAACTGGAATGCAGCATATGTCTAGTATACTTTTTTATTTTCATTTCTTTTTTTTTTTTTTCTTTTTTTTGGGGGGGGGTTGATCACTATTTGCCAATTCAAAGGGTTAAATTTGTCATACTTGTGATAAAAAAGACAAATAGTTTGATCCTTTGTAGCAGCTGCTGCTGCTGCCAACTGCTAATACTGTTTTTTCCTTGTTCAAATGATAAATCACACCATCTGTTTTATTAATATTTCTCCCTTTGACTCTGTTCTATTCAATCCTGACCTTTCATGGCTGAAATGTCGGCTTTATTTCTGTTTGATAGTGTCTTCTGTCTCTGTAAGTGCAATGTGAACCTAAACCTAAACCGCTTTTTATGCACATATGTAAAAGTTATTCAACTATTCTCTCTATATGCTTTTATTTGGTGCAGTTTTTTCTTTTTTATCATTTTAATGTCATGGTAATGCCTTGTACATTGCTCTATATGTTAGAACGCGCTCAACCTGGACTGTCATTTCAACTGTTCTGACTATTCTGTTGGTATTTCGATATTTAAATATGGTCAAATATGGCAAACACATGTCCCTAAATTTTCTGCAAGGGCCTGCACCTGATAGGGCAGCCAAAAAAATCTATACTAAAAGTACTACCTGAGAAAATACTGTGTAAAATTGATGGATTACTTTTTACAATTTAAACTGATCAGCTTTTACCTTACCATGGAACTTGACTAGAACAAATAAAAATCAGGTACTGGCCCTTCAACAGAAGCTTCAATACACCATCAGCAAGTTTTTACCATTTTGTGTCGAGGTTAACAGAAGAATCAGTGTAACATTTTAAAGTGCATATGACAGATTCAGATATCCTCTAATTACAAAAACAGAATCTTCAACCTATGTCATCAAAACTGAAAATTACACCCACAAAATGCAGAGACGATTTACAAGTAAAGAAAGGCATTTTTCTGACTTTTTGGGTGGGGGTCCGTCACCTGCTTGTTTCTATGGAGATGTCACTGCTCTGCCTGGAATGTTCCACAGTATGACATTAAACAGATCTACTTTACTTTTATTCAATTACAGGTGGTTTTATAACTCAAAAATACCTAGAAAAACAGACATTCTGACTGAGCTGGATTGCCTCTCCACAGATCTGACTTGTAACTTGGTCTGGTTTGGTCTCCATGAAAATCGAAAGGTTACACAATGCACTTTTAAACCTTCATTTAACAAACAATGCTGCAGTTTATCTTTAAGGAGTCTAATTATAACTATTGTGCAGTTTAGTCAAGTTTTGGCCTTAGTTATCACGAGAACCAAAACTTTCAAACCTTCTAAAGTGGACAAAACTATGCAAAAATCTTCAATATAATCTTGAAATGCGTAGGCTAACCTGTCATATGCACTTTAAACAGTAGTTACTCCTCCTAAGCCAAAGTTGAATGGAGCCAAAATGAAAAGAATCACAGTGTATGTTGTCTGTTTGTGTACTATATTTTCATAAATGAGCATTGCCCTCCTATTATAAAACCAGCTAATGTCAAAACGAAACACTTAAACCAATGTTAAGCTTCAACGATTCAAAACATGTGAACACGATGACAGCTGTTCTAAAACCCAATGGACTTTATAATGTGTTTTTATACTTGTGGATCAGAAAGTGTGAACACTAAATCTACTTTTTGTGTTACTAAACCGTGTACATGGGCAACTCTAACTGAAACACCTCCCCCCCCCCCAATATAAACCAGGGAAAAGTTTGGACACACATTTTAGTCAGTGTTTCTTCTTTTTTTTTACTACTTTCTTAATTTTAGGTACATACAAAAGACATCAAATACATGAAGTGAGATATATGGAATTATGTAGCAATGTTTTAAAATGTGAAATAACTCCAAGTTTGTGTTACATTTTAGAATCAGGTTCCTCACAGTATCCACCCTTTGCTTTGTTGACAGTGCTGCAAACCCTTTTCCTTCTCTCAGTGACTTTTATGATGGAACTCCCTGAAATGATTTTCACTTGACAGGCATCAGTTTGTTTGTTTTTTTAGTGGAATGCCAAGAGTGACAAGTAGTGATCAAATCAAAGGGTGGTTATTTTCAAGAATCAGAACTATAAAACTTGAGTTATTTCACACTTTTTTGGTTTTTTGTTTTTCATGTTCCATATGTGTTAATTCATAGTTCTGATGTCTTCACTGAGACACTTTTGTGTTTACATGAGAATCTACAATGTAAATAGTCATGAAATAAAGAAAACCATTAGAGGGTCTGTATTACGCTATTTTCTGATCTGTTATAATATTGTTTCTTCATCCAAAACAGACCTGGAGTTGTGTTTTGATTCATTCACACATGTTTAACACACAAACCCTGCATTTTCAGACTTTGTACTTCTCTTGAACAGTAAACCCTCTGATCCACCTTGTGATGTCATCAAGTGGTAATACAGTGCCCCATTATGTTTTTAAACTCCATACACCTTCTTTTGTATGTGGATGATTTCAGCCCTGGGATTGTCCATCTCTACTAAACAAAATCTAAAAGGAGCTGTTGAATTGAAAACTACCACTTCATGACATCACAAGGTGGAAAAGAGCATTTAGAGCTTCGGAAATGTAGACAGCCCAATACTAAAGGGTTACTCACGTGTGAATGAAACAAAACACAACTCCAGGGGTGATGTGAGAAGAAGGTAACTTTATATAAAGCTCAAAAGAGTCAACTTAGAGTAATACTGAACCTTTAAACGAAAAACTGTCCAAACTTTTGACTGAGTTTTGACAGTGTAGATACTATAATTGTCAAATGCCATGTTGTTTTGTCTGTACAGAACTGTTTTGTACCGATTACATCATTTTACTTCACTAACTGTACTATTTATCAAAGCCTAACTGCATTACAAAACCTATAATATCTTTTTTTTCCAGAGGGGGATGAAGAGGACCACTATCTATCAGGTCCTCTACTTGTTTTGCATGGGGACAAAGACCTCATTCAGTGGCAGCTAAATTATCCTCTACTTACTTAACTTTGGTGATTCTATATTTTGTTTTCTGTGTATAGACTTTGCATTGCGTTCCTGGTTTGAAAATGGAACTCTGCAGATACACAAACGCTCAAAGAATATGCAAATTTTTGTGAATGAACGAGAGCCCTTTTGTTGAGCTAACCCTTTAAGACGAGCTTCAGACAATATATATATAGTGTTTTTTTCTAATTTCTTAGAGTCTAATGGGACCAAAAGCATCCTGAGTTGGCTGTAAATGCGCTTGTTTAAAATCATAATGGCGTTTGCTTGTTTTGACCGTACCTGACGCATTTTCTCTCGTGAAGGCTTCTGTCTTTGTACCTTTGCATTATTCTAATTTGTAAATGACAATAAAAACAAATATATCGGACAATTTAAAGTGTGTTTAAGTCATTTGGTACTGAGAATGAATCAAAACTCAACTCCAGGTCTGTGTTTGAGGAGTTAACAACATTCTAACATAACTTAAAGCTCACAAGAGTCAATTTTGCATAATAATAAACCTTTAAAGAACAGCAACAGCTTCATTTGTTTCACAAAGTTCTTATTATTATCACAACAATAAGTAACCAGACATGACTCATGTTTGGATTTCCTGTAGGCCTCCTGTTTCTTGGTAGCTCCAACCTCAGGATCCTCCTATGTTCATACATTTCAAAGTGCATTGTGTAACTTTTCTGGTGGAGGGTCTGTCAAATGCTTGTCTCCATGGAGATGTTATTGCTTTGTCTGGAATGCTTCACATTATGGCATTAAACCTTCTTATTTTTATGGAGACCAGACCAGACCAAGTTACAGGTCAGATCTGTGGAGAGGCGACTCCGCTCACAGTCAAAATGTCTGTATTTCTATGTATTTTTGAGCTCTAAAACCCCCTGTGATTGAAGAAATGTAAAGTAGAGCTGTTAAATGTCACACTGTGGAAGATTCAAATTCATAGAAACTAATAGGTGACGGACCTGCAACCAAGAAGTTACACAATGAAGCGACTAAAAGTGGAGTCCCTCTCTCCAAAACTGGAAACAAACATAAAATATCGGAAGACCAAATGAATCTCATTGGACTCCCTCTCTCCAGCCGACAGAGAGAGAGAGAGAGAGAGAGAGAGAGAGAGAGAGAGAGAGAGAGAGAGAGACAGAGAGAGAGAGAGAGAGAGAGAGAGAGAGAGAGAGGGACAGAGAGAGAGAGAGAGAGAGAGAGAGAGAGAGAGAGAGAGAGAGGGACAGAGAGAGAGAGAGAGACAGAGAGAGAGAGAGAGAGAGAGGGACAGAGAGAGAGAGAGAGAGAGGAGAGAGAGAGAGAGAGAGAGAGAGAGAGAGAGAGAGAGAGAGAGGGACAGAGAGAGAGAGAGAGAGAGAGAGAGAGAGAGAGAGAATGCTGTGGACATCTTGCATGTGGAAAGAGAGGAGGAAGAGCTGAAAGAAAGAAAGAGAAAAAAAAGATTTTGGCAGCTGGCTTCAAAACATAGGCTACACTTCAAACCCAAAAGAAAAAAGCAGTGTCCCAGGATGTTGTATTTGGTTCTCAGAAGTATCAAAACTCAGATACTAATCGATACTAGAGCTAGTCTTTTACTGGTTTATTTATTGATTGATTTGAGCATCAGTTAAAGTACATAAGGACACATTCATTTCACAAGAATCATTACATAAAAGAAATCAAATGTGATGAGCTGTAGTGTGCTGGACTCCATGATGCTCAAAAGTAGGATGTTTTAAAACATTATATTCTACCCCTCTCATAAGTATTGAAACTAGATACTCGATTGAACAGGTATCGGTTCTAAAAAAGTCACGTTCACAGACAGAAATGAACCTTTCCTGAATGTTTTTAGAATGATGTTGAGTTGTATCAGAACAAGTGTCAGAGCACATAGACTAGTACACACACATGGACCAACATGAACCTACTGCACCACTGACCATCACACACATATAACACACATGGAGCAGAAAAGAAAGTACTATGATTTAATGTTGAAAATCATATTTTTTTGTCTTAAGAAAGAGTGTCTTTATGATCCTCATGGTATCAGAATCAGTATTGAGCAGAAATTGGGACTTGCAAATCGTGACTTGAAATCGAGTCAGAGATTTTTATGACTTTTAGACTTGACTGATAAAATGGACTAAGACCTGGGACTTGACTCAGAATTGAAAGTCAGTGACTTCAGAAGACTTAATGATTTTTCTAAAAAAAAAAAGTTTTTAGAAAATACTTTTGTCTTACAGTAGACACATGCGGTGCTTTTACAGGAACAAACTGAACCGTGTCCCTCCCACTTCTCTGTTTGGTACTTTGGATATAACTGAAGTACTGTGAGATGGTATCCTCAAATGTACTACAGTAATATATAGTACAGTACAGTACAACTCAGTAAAACAGAACTACATAGAACATGATGCTTCCATTTCAGTGCAGACTACATGACAAAGTAACTTTTGTTAAGCACTTTTAAATTCTTTCTATTCTGACCTGTCGTTGTTGTGATGTGTGTGTCGTTGTTGTGATGTGTGTGTCGTTGTTGTGATGTGTGTGTTGTTGTTGTGTTGTGATTCGTGTGTCGTTGTTGTGTTGTGATGTGTGTGTCGTTGTTGTGATGTGTGTGTTGTTGTTGTGTTGTGATGTGTGTGCTGTTGTTGTGATGTGTGTGTCGTTGTTGTGTTGTGATGTGTGTGTTGTTGTTATGTTGTGATGTGTGTGCTGTTGTTGTGATGTGTGTGTTGTTGTTGTGTTGTGAGTGTTGTTGTTGTGATGTGTGTGTTGTTGTGTTGTGTGTGTTGTTGTTGTGATGTGTGTGCTGTTGTTGTGATGTGTGTGTCGTTGTTGTGTTGTGATGTGTGTGTTGTTGTTGTGTTGTGATGTGCGTGTCTGCATTAAGACCAGTGACTTATATGGATACAATTATAAAGGGGTTTCTTCCCTGGGCTCTTAGCGCCATCTGCTGACCAAAAGCAGATATTTCTCAAATACATGTCGGTCATGTTGTCTTTGAATATTAACGACTTTTTGGCCAATTTTTATGTAAATGTAACAAAATTAAGTTCAGATTTGGGGAGATGCAAGCCCACTCACAGTAAAAATACATTTCATAAATTTTTCAAAGCAATACGCACGACCAAAATGGAAAAAATAAAATAAAATAAAACATGCTTTTATATTAGTCTGTTTTTGGGCTTAAACGTTTCATACTGTGGCTTTAAATCAAAGTGTATCAGCCGTTCCCTCACACTAGTTTAAAGCTCCTTTATAACACAAAACTAAGTCTTGTGGCCTTTAAAACATTTTAGAACTCTGTTATCTCATCAAAAAACATTCCTGGAGTCGTGTTTTGTTTCATTCACACATGTTTGTATGAACTCCTGTGTTATCGGTCTGTCCACATCTCCAGAGCTCTAAACGCTCTGCTCCGCCTGCTCAAGTGAACAGCTTTTACCTTTAGTTCAGTGGAGATAAGCAAGAGATAGGCTGAAATTATCTAAATGATCCTAGTGAAGGTGTATGGAGTTTTGTTTTAAAAGCACAGTGGAGCACTTCCTGTACTACGACATGACATCACAAGGTGGAACAAAGTGTTTTAGTTTTAGAGAAGAATATATCTTAAATTTGTAAGATGTGTGTGTTAAACATGTGGATGAAACAAAACATAACTCCAGGAAAGGTTTTGATGAGTTAACATTATAATACTGATCAGAAAACAGTGTCATATGGGCCCTTTAAAGGTGCACAGTATGACATTAAATATATCCATCTTGCATTTACTAAACTACAGGTCATTTTATTTCTCAAAAAAAAAAAAAATAAAAAAAAAAAAGAAAGAAAAGAAAAGAAAAGAAAAGAAAAGAAAGAAATCCTCAAATTTTACTTGTCAACATAAAAAAAAGGGGGACATTCCTGGTTCGGGATGGTTGGTAATAAAATTGTGAAAATTGTGCGTAATTAAGGAAAATTTGTATGCACTCGACAATAATGTGAGTCAATATACTCTTTTTCTTTGTGTTTTGGGATCGTCTCGGGTAAATAGGGACGTCTGGCCACCCTATTTATGTCCTTTTGCTTTAAATCCCCTCAAAAATATCTAATTTTTGACAC